TCTTCCGACACTGACATTGAAGAAGACGTCGGAAAAGCTGCACTCTTCCCTTTGTCAGCCGCACGACTCGATGCGACTAAAGGAGGAGCAATGTCAGTTGTAGACAAAGGAGCTGAAAAGGTCTGTTGCTGAAGCAACAGATCAAAACGTCTTACCAGCTCTTGAATGCCTCCTTCCAGAGACAAGATCTTCGAAAGTCCAGCTGCTACCTTTTTTGGATCGAGACGCTGAATCTCATTGCGTAAGCCATCCATCTCCACACGAAGTTAAGAATGCAGAGAAGTCAAGCGTTCTTCGAAACCCTCCACCTGCGATGCCACTTCCTTAGCTGTCACCATGGCCGAGGAAAGACGGGCTCTGATACCACTGTTATGTCTTAGAAACTTTACACACAATTCTCAGACTCACAACAGAACTCACACAACTCGAACATCAACAAAGAAACTGGTATTCATTCAGAAGAAAAGAAGAACATTAACAGTTGATTGGTTCTTCGAGAGACTGCCGGCTCTCCCAATCACTCATAGTTTTCTTCACTCAACAAAAGCCTCTCTCCCCCATCCCCCAAAGCCCCTTCTTATACTCTTCTCACAGCATAACTGATTCCCTTAATAAATGCCCAGCTGGCCAAGTTATAAATGCCCATACTCTTCTTATTCCTAACTAACATAGCTATAAATGCTTCAAGACTCTCCTTATTCCCTCCAGCTATAATTGCCCCCATGTTCAATTATTTCCCCCCTTAGCGGAAAGCTGACATTTCCCCTTCTTGGCATACATAAAGTTAATTGGGGGCCTATCACAAGGTTGACCACTCAACTTTAAACCTTGAAATAAATATTTTTCTTCTACCATTTGCCACGACATGAAAAAATTTAGTATTCCTATCACCCTCCTTTAACCATTTGCACCTAGATTTTTGTCTCCAACTGATTTCCTTCTTATGCAAATAATTCTCCAGCTATCTTCTCAATCTCCACCTTTGCTCCTTGTCTCATTCTTCAAGATATTCCCTTCCTTCAAGTCCAATTCCTCAATTTGCTCAATCACATTTTGCTTTCTTTCTTTTAACCTTCCAAAATTTAAAAGGTTCCATTCCTTAATTCTATCTTTCAAGAATTGGAGCTTCTTGTGGAATTCCATTCCTTCCCAATTCATTGAAGGATTACAATGCATCTACCACTCATTGACTTTCTTAGTGAATCCCGGATGGTGCAACCTCATGTTTTCAAATCTGGAGTAGGCCCCGCATTACTCAGCTCTTCCTTACAAATTGCCAATGAGCTTATGTTTGTCTAAAAAGTGCTCTAGAGGTTAAGCTCCCCTAATGCCCTTCCCAGTCTATCGAAAAGAGAAACCTATCTAACTTAGAAGAAATTGGATTCATTTGGAGATTGGGTCAAGTGAAGTTATTATGCAAAAACGGGATCTCTTTAAGTTCAAAGGCATCCATAAACTGGTTAAATTTTCTCATGCTTGTTGTCACTCTTTGTCTAGGGTTGTTCGTTTCTTCTAAGAATATGACTACATTGAAATCACCTCCTACACACCACGGTCCTTCCCACAAAACCCTAATATCTCCCATTTTCCCCACATTATTTCTTTTCCCTATAATCATTGAGACCATAAACATTTTTTAACACCCATCCTTCACATGCTTGAATGTCAGAGATGCTGAGAATTTACCTATTAATTCTTCCATACCTACTAGCACATCTCTTTTCCACAATGTCACTATACCCGAGGAACCCCAAGAAGGTGCAACCGCCTAATTAATCCTCCTGGCTCTCCAAATGCTTCTAGCCCACCTACTATCAAAGTCAACCCGTTTGGACTTCTGGATTAGCACCACATCTGGATTGAATCTTTTAATCACCTCTTTAATTATTGCTCTTTTTCTTGCACTCCCTAATCCCCTCACATTCGAACTAATGATTCTCATTTTAACCTTATCTCTTAGCCCGTTCCTATGGCTGATCCCTACTTAACCCCTTTCCTCCTGTCCCCTTTACACCAAATGTTTTGTCTCCTTCAACATCTCTCCTTAGCCTTTCAACCTTACTCAGTTTCCTCTTCTTTGCTATACTCTCTTCCTTTTTTTGTAGGAAAACTTTCAGATCATTTGTGTCCTTTAATTTACATCCAAGTTTTCCCACAAAATCTGCTACAGAATCCTCTCTATTAGACTCCCCCTTCTCTACCTTGCTGTTCTCTCTCCTCTTATCCCCTCATTCCTTCCCTCACTCTCAATATATTTTTTTTTTTTCCATTTGTCCCATCTGTATCCTCCTTTTGTAATTCATTTTTCTCAAATTCATCCAATCTGCTCTCAATAATTCCCCAAATTTTTATATTCTTCTCCACTTCCTGCTTTGACTCCTCCCCTTCCTTCTTCCCCTTCATTTTCCTAGTACGTTCTGCTGCTACGGCTCCTCTATCATGGGCCTCTGTCTCTGGAATGGGAAGGGAATCTGAAACTACAGACAGCTTGGGGATTGCCGCCTGGGGGGGGGGGGGAGATTACTAGGACTGAGGCAATCGACTATCATTCCCTGCTTAGGTGGTTGGGGGTTACCTATCACCTTGGCTTGGTGAGAAGCAAATCCCACATTTGGGCAACACAAGGATCCCTTCCCTCACCCTTCTGTTTATCTCTTTTAGGTGTATTGTGTATTTCTGACCTGCCTTATATTAGCCTTATGGACACCCTGCAAAGAAGGTTGATTTGGTTATGGTACATTTGTGTTTGGGTGAAGAGTTTCCTCCCCAACAACCTAGCAGTGCTCTGTTAAGTTTACTTCTCCTATCTTGTCAGTTTGAACCAATGAAGCCTCTTGTTGTCCTCCTTCCAAGACTCCTTGAAATAGCAGCTCTAGATTTAAAGCCACTCTATCTTCCTCGTCATAGAAAGCTTCAGCTCCAACACTTTCTAGGTTTGTTGAATCATCTAAATCCTCATTCTCATCTTCCTCTATACTACATGCAACCCAATCATCGCCCTCTTCCTCCCTCTCCTCCAGCTGGTCCCTCATGTACCTTGAATTTGGATGATCTGTAGAGGAATGGATGATGCTATTAGTCTCTTAATCTAGTCGAGAGACCCTTCAAGATCAGGTCTTTGCCATTGCAATCCCCCATCATTGATGCTTCTTTTTTTGGAAGAAAATAGACGAGAACTAACATCTAGTCTCCATCCACCCTCTTACCCCGACCCACGTGATCACTTAAGTTGTCATGTGGGTCGAGTTGCTCTTTGCCTGGTCCAACATTTAAACCACCTGGTCTTGCAGCTGGTTCGGAAACAATAGCTCAATTGAAAATTTTGTAATAGGGCCACTTCCTCTCCTGGCCACATCAGCAAAGGAAGATCTGCCTGCTTGTTTTTCTTTTAATTCAATAGGTAGCTTTAAATGGGTAGCTTGTTGTTTGGTTTTCCTCCCTTGACTGTTCAATTTTCTACTTAAACTTCCCCTGCATCCTATTCTTCTCCAAACCTAGCATGCCACATTACTCCAGCCCACCAGGTCGGCATCGTCGTCAACCTTGGTTCATGCTCCTGATAGAGGTGCTTCAGCTTCTGAGATCAACCAAACACAATACCGGGTGGTCTCTGAGAAAACTTCAAACGAATGGGGGTGATTCTCTGGTTTCACCTCAGATTTCACTATGTTCCCGAGAACCATTTCACTCCAGAGATGAAATGGGAGTCCTAAATAGCTTTATTAAGAGGCTCCCATCTTTGGGTTCAATCTCATTGCATACCGGAGCCCACTTTTGAATCTGGATCAAGCTTCCTTATGCTTCAACTGCGGTAAATCTCAATTCCTTATCGTCAATATCAAGAACTTCTTTCCTGTCTGCAAACGGCAGGAGCTCTCTTCAACTTCGATTTCTGACTTCTGTGCCACTGCATCCAGTGTCTTCGTCCAATACTTAACCGCCTTTTCAGCTGTTAGAATTATTGTCCTCTCTCATTTACTTCTTCCTACTTGAAGCATCATTCTCCATGGCCTGTTAAACTCACTACCGCAAGTCCAGGATGGGAGAGACTCTATTCCTCACTACCCTCTTGTATATTGGAATTATCCTTGACTGCCTGACTAACATGATTCTGCTCACTGCTTGCTTCAGCATTGAGAATTTTCTCTTCACTTGAATTCCTTTCAGCAGACAGGAGAAAAAGTTGCAGTTTGTCCACTGAAGAAATCCCCCTATTCCTTCTTCCCCGCCAGTACACATATCATTTGTCTCCTGTTGTTTCCAAAGTACTCTATAACAGTAATACCACCCCCTTCCCATTCCTTCTCAGTTCAGATTCAAATCTTTTCCCCAATAACACTATGGAATTTTTCCATCCCACTGTCCTGAAAGAGTTAACTGCTCCATCGATAAACACCTTTAACCATAGTGTTACTTCCTCTGGTAAGAAGATTGTCACCCTTCTGTCTTCTCTAATTTTCAAGACATTCTTACATTTGGTCCATCCATGTTCGAACAGCAATTTCTTTGCTTCAATAATCAGTTCAGGTCTCCACCTACTGGCTGCTCTGGAAACTTCTTCACCTCAAGCCCTCTCCATCCTCGCTGAACTGAAAAGCTTATCAAGTCATCCACTGACTTTAAAATACCTATACAAATACGAACAATATGTTGCAACTTAATTTGAGGGTGTCTAATTACTTAAACAATAGCTATTTTTTGGGATGGATAATTCTTCACTACAACACAACCTCCTCACCTCAAACCACCAAATCCATTTGTACACACTGAAGGCTTTAAAGAAGCATTGTTTTACATGCAATATGATTATTTCAACACCCTTTTGGACACAGATATGGTTCAGTCAACAACAAACCATGCTAAAGGGGGGAATTTGGACATGGTTTTAACTTTAAGCTTATCTTCAATTCAGCAGCCTATATAATATTCTAAACACTTTATACATGTCATATTTTCTGTTTGACTTATTTTACAATTGCTTTTGTTTTTTCTTTATGAAGCATAAAAAAAGGGGTAGACGGAAAGGATCGAGAAATAAGCTAAGTCCTGAGGTCACTAGGAAACTTGGTGATGCCACTCTTCATTATGCATTTGGCCGTTACGAAGAGGTGAGGTTCTTGGCTCATCATCATTATTTTGTTTTACTGTAACAGGATTTTTAATTCCGTGCGGGATGAACTTACTTTTGATGGTTGAAAATTTGGTTATTTATATTAACACCTTAAGCTTGTATATTATATAAGATATAACATTCTTTGATCATCTAAATTCTCATGCAGGGATTTTTTTTTTTTTGATTGGTAACCATAAGAACTTTTACTGATTATGAGATAAAAGGATAATGCATATATAATCACAATGTCCCAAGCACCTCTTAATATTACACTAGTGATGTTACGTATACCATTATATCAGTCTATGTATTACATATCATTCCCCTTGCAAATATCCCCCAAAGCAGTTGACTTCCATTAGCCTCTTGACTTACTGAACCATCAGCCAAACTGTTAGCCAATCTTGGAGTCCAACTAAATGCTTCTCTTTTAACTTACTTGCCAAAACTTTTATTTTTATCATAACTAATCTATACTAGTCAAGACCCATGCAATGCACGAGTTTTATTAAGAAGAACTGAGGAAGGAGCTTTATGACATTTCCAATTAAAAGGTGCTCATCTAAGTCCAATTCAAGCACTTTTTTGGGTTATGTGTAGTTTATTTGCGATCACAGTTCAAGTTATACTTTAGTGAGAGTGGCAAATTTCCTATGCTCTAGATAAATCTGTATGATTTTTTCTATCTTAATGCTAAATTTAATATTAATTTTTAAATTTTATGGTTTGTAGTTATTTTTGTATTATTTTTAGGTAAAATATTTTTTGGTTTGTAGTTATTTCTAAATAAAGTTGGTTAAGGGTAAATTTGGTATTTACAGAAGATTAATGCATTACATCAACATTTTCTATTTCGAGTGTTAATGGAAGGAAAGCATCCACACCTTTTTTCAAAACAATATGGGAGGTTTTTATTAAGGTGAAAACATATATAGGAGAGGTTCATAGGATTGTTAGAAAACCCAAGGAGGTTTTTATAATTTTTGCCATTTTTAAATAGAATTTAAGTTGATTTTAAATTAATTAAACAATACTTAAGGTTAATGAATTTTTATTTTTATTAATCCTTATTTAAATTTTTATTTTTCAATGGAATTTAAGTTTGTTAGTAAAAATTAATTATAAAACTAATAATTATTAGATAATTTTGTATTAGTTTTATGTTAATTTTAAATGGACATTAGTTTCTAATTTATCTTATTACTTTTTATTAATTATTCGTTTTATTATACTAATAAAAATATTTTTTATCAATAATAATAATTAATAATTATTTTATCTTATTTAAGTAATTTAATAAATTAATTTTTACAATGGTTAATTAATTTTTATTATTTCAAATGGAATAAGAATGGACTTTTTATGATGTTTTATTCAATGTTTTCAACTCATTGTTGACTCAGATAGTTAAATTATTTGAGCCATCACTTGGTCCTATTTCTAATTCTGGGTTTCCTAAAACCTATTATTCTGTCAAAAACCTTTGATTTGGTCAAAATCCATTCGACCTAGTTGGTCGAACCATTGACCCTTTCCATCTAGTCCTTGGGTCATGAGTTACAATGTACAATGTATTGAAAACTTTTAGAGGACTTAACTTTGTGCTTAGTAATTAGTTTTCTTATTGGGGTGATCTTGTTTTATTTTGGTTAACATTTCACAATCTTTGCAACCCCACTATACAATAAAATACTCATTTTATGGTCTCAAATTTCAATTTCCGGCTCTTTCATTTATAAAAAAATTGAAAGCTAAAATAAAAAGTACAAATTGAACCTAAAATAATACACACACACAAAATGGAATTATATTATATTATATTATACATATGTAGATGGATGATGTGTTATGGTTTGATTTGTCCAACCCGGACAATTGAACCGTTGACCCATGACCTAGAGGCAAAAATTATTCAGCCTCCAAGTCAAATTTTAAAACATTGGTTTTATTTGTTGAGCGAACTAGATAATATTTATTATGAAATATAAATTACTTAACTGATTAACTAAAAATTAATTATCTTTTAAATTGAAGTATATTATGTAGCCTAATAATATATCATTGAATATCTCCATTTTAATATAATTATATTTTAATATAAATATATCTAATGTGTATAAAATTATAGTTAAATTGAAATGGATATAGATATAGATAAAGTTAATGAATTTTAGGCAATTTAATGGAGTAATGAATAGGAGAGAGAAATAATGGCATTAGTTATTGAAGGGGAGAGTTGATGGCATAATTAATGAGAAGAGATAATTAAAGGAGTTAATGAGAAAGAGGATATGGAGTTAGTGGTGAATTGATTAGAGGAGATAAAAGTCTTAAAGCTTATTGACCTCTTGAGTTATTTTGTTCAATTTTAAAATGAGAAAATTCAAAAAAACCTGAAGAAAGATAAATGCTTATTAAAAACAACCAGAAAAAAGATAAATACTTCTCAAAAATAACCAGAAATCAGGTATGTGCCAGCTTGGCACATTCCATTTTAATATATAGATATAGATTTCCAAGAACTTCTGATGCTACTTTTGAGCGAACTCATCACCTCCTTTGAATCCCCTTCTACCACCAATTCTCTGATATTTTAGGATATAGCTAATTACATTCCCTGTAAAGCTGCAAGTTATCCAGCTCTGCAAGTTATCCTTGTACTATAGGTCCAGGAAATATGCCCACTATAATAAAAAGCAAAATTTTTATAAACTTCCCCAATTCTTGACAATCTTTGATTTCCTAAGTTGCATTCATTAAGATTCAGCTTAATGACATCATGGATTGGGGGAAATCTAAGTGACATAGATCTTGCTGAAGAGAAAGATGCAATCATTTGCCACCTTCTGAACATATCACCTAAAGAGAATGGGGAGAAGTTTGGTTGTGATTTTATCCAATGTGCAACCCTTGAATATTTTCTATTATTTGCTTCCCTTGTTTGTAATCATCTTTTGAATATTCTTGCATTCTTCTTTTCCCTAATTATCCAAAAGGTTGCAGTTTAGTGCATCTCCACATGATTTTTTACCTTTACTTTTCTGGTGGAAAGAAGGAGCTTGAAATAATTGCTCAAATTGACCTAAGGAGTCCGCCTGCATCAAAATAATGAGAAACACTTATAAATTTTAGAAACCAGTTGACAAGTTTCATTATCAATGATAAAATATAACAAAATAAATCCGAAATTAATTAAAATTTGGTTGGGTTTGTCATTGGGGCATCTTCTGGCCCAATGACATTGGTCTTGTTCACAGTCTTGGATGAGATTGTAATCTGATTTAGGCCCAGGCAACCTTTATGGCCTGGGTTTTGTTTGTAATTTTTCTATGTTGAATAAATTTCCTTACCTTTTTCCAAAAAAAAATTGGGGCATCTTCTGGCCATATTGAATTTGGAAGTGCAAGTGTGACTAGTTCCATAAAAAATATTAACTTAACTAACCAACTATTTCACTTAAGGGTATAGGGTGGTCTAATCCCTACCCAGCCTAAATTCCATTTAGTTTTTGGGTGGAGTGTTTCTAATCCAACGGAATTTAGCCTGGTTGGGATGCTGGAACTGACCTACTGGTGGCCCTATATACTATATACTTTTTTATTCCAGCAGTTGCAACAGAAGTTGTGTTTTTGTTGCAGGTCAACACAGCTAACAAGTAAAAGAAAGATGTGTGCTTGCTAAATATTGTCATCTCTTCTGAACTGTAGGCTATATGTGTGCTGAAGGAGGTTATCCTGCTTGCGCCAAATTTGCCTGATCCATACCATACACTTGGGCTTGTTTATAATGCAATTGGGGATAAGAAGAAAGCGTTGAACTTCTACATGATTGCTGCACATTTGTCACCCAAGGATCCATCTCTCTGGAAACTGCTTGTTAGCTGGTCCATGTGAGTTTTTAAACATTGTTGATACCATTGCCTTATGCAGCATTTGTTCATACAAGATACTGCAAGTCTGTTTTTATTAGTTTAACCATTTTTTCGTATCATTAAAATAAAAAGGAGTACAAATTTTGGTGAAGAGCTTTCACCAAATACAACAACATTTTGCAAAAAACTTAACAGTTTTTTTTTTTTTTGATAATTGAAAGATAATTTCATTAATCAAAGAAGATAAACTGTTACAAGCATCCCTTGAGAGGCGCGAGGTGCAGCCTCTCCTAGACATTACAGTTAGACAGGCAAAACAAGAGAAAAGTTACAAACTAGCTAGTTCCATTTGCTAGTTTATGCATTGCTCCATGGAATGCTCACTTAGTGGCTGCAAAGAGGATTTTATGCTACTTAAAAGGTCAACATGGTAAAGTGGTTGTAGTTGCTAATCATGGACATATGAGGATTGAGTCATACATTGATGTTGACTAGACTGTTTTTTTTTTTTTTATCAATAGAAGAATTTCATTAGAAATATTAAAAGTTACAAGATAGGGAGAGGTAAACTAGTTCATTGTTTTTCTTAATTTGTCTCTTGTAGTGTTGGTTAGTTAAGCAGAGGATGTGGCTGGGTGTTATCTTGATACTCCCTGATTGTATGAATCTTTTTTCTTTTAATAATTTTTTTTCTCTGGTTCTAAAAAAAAAAAAAAAGAAAGAGGGAAACTATCTTAACTCTCTACAGACAAAAAAACTGTTACAGTTGAGCCCAAAACAACTGGTTCCTCCCCACCCCTTGTTTTGCTAATACATCAACAAAACCATTTGCTGCCCTTTTAACCCAGCTAAACTACACTTTCATATCTTGAATCTCTTTTTTCATTATGAAAATCCAAAATCCTTTATCTTCCTTCTATCAACCAGTCCAATACCAACTTTGAGTCACCTTTTACAATCATCTTTCTCACATTCATATATTTTGCCTTTTGCAATCCTTCCATAACCACCATAACCTCATGTTAGACAGTTATGCCCTTTGCTCCAATAAGATTGATGTACTTATTGACTTTTATATTGGTGTGTTTAGAATCTTATTGACTTTTATATTTGCTCCAATAAGATTGATGTACTTATCTGTGTAATACCCTTAAACTGGACATTTATGAGACTCGTGTTAGTTTAGAATCTTCACAGCCGTTGGATAGATCTTGGGAGATTTATTTTACCAAGGTTGACACTGATGTGCTACCAAGAAGGTTGGGGTGTTTTGTCTTAGCTGCCAGGGTAAGACCCAAAGCACATGCATTGTAGGTTTTCTTGAAACCCTAAACCGGACCAAATTCCAGTATTGTCTTCGACCTTGGAGATAGATGGACAAAATTGGAATGTTACACCTGACCTAGACTTGATTATGGTACTGCACTAGGTGTTAGATTGGGTTATTTTTGATATGCCAATCAGTGAGATCCTTAACCGGGTCAAAACTTGGGTATGTTGGGGCAGTCCAAAAATTCACCAGAGTGGGTGATCATAATGACAGGATCAACCCCTTTGTCAGACAAAGTGAATGGTCGGCGAATGCACTCACTCTGATGGAAACCTAAACTGCCGACAGTTGATTTCAAACTTGTTGAAATTTGTTTTGCAAAATATATTTATATAGAGATATACTTATATATTATGGTTTCACAAAATGTTTGCAAAATGTTGTAATTCCTGGGAACATGTGAGTAGAGAGTGCAACACTGTATCTTGCAGCTGAGGGAGAGGTCCCCTCTTGTCGGGCAGTGTTTGATCATTATGGGTTAAGAGGTTAAGTGTAAGCCATTGAGGGTTATACCTGATGGGCTAATCTTGCATCTACCCACAGTCCTTGGGCCTTCATAAGGTGTTTGGACCCAAGGACCATTTAGTGTAAATGTTGGGCCCATTAAGAGCCCATACTGATGGACTTAGGGGTTCACTGTGTTCTGTAGTGAATTCGGCCAGGCCTTATAGCAAAGGCTGAGTTGAACCCATGTGGCTGATGTATTGATCAATGCTAGGGTCCCACACCTTACAAAAAGAGCCAAACTAGCCAGCAATTAAAGGGTAAAGTGAGCAATGCGAGTTAATAGGCCTAAGGCCCATTTCGAACTGGGCTTAAGTGTTTTAATTAAATGGGCGAATTTGGGTTTATAATCTGATTAGGATCAGCAATTGGATAAGATAAGTCTTATCCACTTGAGAGTCCAGATCCAAATATTAGATTTGGATCAAGAAACTCCTTTTTAATTGGATTAGGAAGTTGATCCAAAGAAGGTTATAAATAGGGGGCGAATTCTACAGAAAGATCAGTTCTTTTCTGCAAACTTTTTCTTCCTTTGCTCTTGCTGCCCTGCCTAGTTTATATCCACCTCTTGGAGTGATCAGGAACTGTTCTTGATATTGTTTCTTGGTGAAGGAACAATCTGAAGTCGTGCTCACACTACCCTACACGATTCTTGCTGAAGAACCCTTCTTGCTGATTCTGCCTCAACATTCGCTGTGTTATCTTCGGTGGAGGCGGATTTGGTAACCTCTTTGGGCGTGAACACCTACGTTGGGAGTTACTGTTATTCCGTATCAGGTATATCCCTTTCCCTCTTTTGGTTTCAGATCTGGTCTGCTTTGTTTCAAGAAAGATATTGAAAAATGCAGCTTTTCAAAATTAGGGAATATGATTCCCGGATGGGAGAAAGGAATTTTTGAAATTTCGCCCAGCCACCCTGCATGGTTCGGCCATCCATATGATGGATGTCCCATCCCTGCACCTCGGCCCTTAGGAAGCTACCTATTCCAATCGGGCCTCAATATAGACCAACGATCTTGCCTTCACTGTCCCTAAACACCCCTCCAATACCAGATGGTCCTGGATTCCGTCACTACTCTCATCAGATTTCAACTTAATGTAGTCAAACATTGGAGGGGACCAAGCAGGGTTTATATTAGAATTGTGGCAATCAGAACTTACCACTTCCTTCCATTTGTTCATGATATCATCTGTTGAGAAATCAGCAAATAACTTCATAGGTTTTACTCAATGAATCACTCTCATCATAATGATTTCAATGACAACTTCTCTACTTCTTTCCTTGTCTAAGAATAATTTTGCATTTCTTCCCATAAAGTCCAGCTCACAGCCGCCCTTACACATCTCCATAATACTGTCCCCTTTATTTGGCCATCTCAAGAAAGTAGAAGCAAATAAGCTTTGCACATTAGCTAGGGGAGACCACCTGAACCCAAACAATGAGAAAAACCATTCCCAAACAAAGGTTGCAAAAGGGCAGGAAATTAATAAATGAAAGCAAGTTTCTCCATTAGCCTTACACAAGAGACCAATGTGGGGATAAATGCCAACTAGTCCTTTTCCTTTGGAGAGAGTTGCAAGTATTAATTGTTTCCAGATATTAAACACTGGTTCATTGATGACAAGAAATCTACTTCTAGATATTGAACATTTATTGGAGGAAATTAATTTCTTGGAGAAACAAGAAATAATCTATGGTTGCTCATTCTAGTTCAAATGCAAAATACAGAGCAATGGCTTATAGAGTTTCAGAGATGTTGTGGATTAGGTTCTTTTTCATAAACCTTGTAGTTTAGGTTCTTGCTTGGTGAATTGGGAATTGGTTATGAATTATGATAGGTCCATGATGCCATATTGTGAATCTGTGATAATCAAGCAGCTATCAACATTGCATATGACCCTATTCAGCATGATACGATGAAGCATATTGAGGCTGACAGACACTATATACAAGGGTTGATTTTTGGACAAATATGTCTTTTGTTGCAACTGAAGAGCAATTGTCAGGCATATTCACCAAAGGATTTTCTAAATCCTGGTTTGTATGTAAGTAATCTGAGCATTGTCAAATACTTTACCCATGGGGTGTCGAAGAGTTTATTTTTATGTGCTGTTATACCTTCATAATTGTGTTATTTCTTTTGTTTCAGTTCTATTTATTCTTTTGTTAATGGCCAACAGGGGTATTCTTGTAATTTTCCACAATTCATATAAATAATAAATGAAAGGTCTGTGCACTCATCTGATGAGGATTTTTCTTCTCAACCTTTCTCTCCTCTCGTTCTTTTATTGTTCTATTTCTTTTCTGCTGTTCAGCATCTATTTGCAGGTTTCTTTATTGATTTAAATTTCAGATTTGATAGCCTGTTTTCATTACTAGCTACCATAGCTTCCTTACATCAGTGACCACTGTTTCCTACTAGCCTAGATGATTAGTTACAAATCACATTATAGTATTGATGCATCATAGTGTATGTATTAATCTCTCTACCCCCCCCCACCTTGTGTGCATGCACATCATACACAAAAAGCAAAGAGAGCCCTTGCATGATATAGTATTTTGGTATATAACATTTGGGAAGTAAATTGTTGTGACCTTTCTTGTTAATTTATTCAACGCAGAGAACAAGGAAATACTGGTCAGGCTAGGTATTGTCTTTCTAAAGCAATTACAGCAGATCCAGAAGACATCAGCCTCAAGTTTGATCGTGCCACACTTCATATTCAGCTTGGGGATTATCAGAAGGCTGCTGAATCATATGAACAAATATTAGGAGTGTGTCCTGAGAATGTTGAGGCACGCAATATGGCTGCAAAGGTTTTACTTTCTACTTATGTGTATTACTAGTCTTATTTTAATCTGGCCTTATATTAGTGGTAAGACTGGTGCAATATATCCTACTATTGTTCCTTATTTTCAATAAGCATCTAAGATCTTGTTTATTATCTTTTTCTTTCTTCTTTTAGTTCCAGTAAATGATGGGAAGTAAGGAGGTTGTCTAAATAAGGAGGGGAGAAAAGGAACTCAATTTACCTGGTAGATGAGAGATACAAGCCTGTATTTTAGATAGTAACCCTCCCAAGTCCTTCTCTGCTGTCATGAGTAAATCAATAACAATTTAGGAATTTCCCTTGACCACAATATCTTAAACCCCAGGCATTAAATATGAAGAGGTAAAAAGTTAGGATATTAAGAAGAGGAAACACAAACATGATTTGTTTAATTTAAACTTTGTGGCCTGAGTTAGGGTTTTTAGATTATATGCTCTAATTCTTGCTGAAAATGGTAGAGCAATCAGATAACTAAGGTTGTTTTTGGCATAATTTCTGTGTGTTTCTTATTCTGAGAAATATCAAGAAAAGAACCATTTCTCTATATTCCTGTTGTACGCATTTGGCAAACTAATCTTAACAATCACATTTATGATTCATAGGATAGGAATGATGTTTGCATTGGTCCTGATTCTCTGGACAAGTTTTATAGTATCTACCACATAAAGCATTATTAAAACTTCAATTGGTTCTCTCATCTCTGTCTATTGTTGCATTAAACTAGATAAAAGAATTTTATGGTGCATTTTTTTGATCTGCAAAGATTAATTATATTAATAGATGAGAAAAAATTATATCGTTTTGGGTGACCATTCACCCAAGAAGACAGCAAACAATCATAGCCCAAAAATCAAATTACAATACAGCCCAAAAAAAGCCGCTGCCTAAATACTCCTTGCTTGTCTAAAGTGTCGGCCATCCCATTAGTTGTCCTGCGTGCCTAGGAAAAAGAAGCATTCAAGTTCTCTTGCAGACTTTCTATCTCCCTCAGGGCATGTTGTAGATCCAGGGTATATTACATCTAGAAGTGCTCCAAGAGAAAATCACTTTTGAGCCTCCTTCAGTTTCCAGGTTTCTAAAATTTGATTGCTTGGCAAACCTTGAGCATTATAACAGTGCCATCAGTTCAGCCTTTTGTGAGTCCCCTTCTTCTATAGGTCCCGAGTACATGGCCAAGACTTTACTTGAGTCATCTCTCAACACACTGCCAATACTTTCCATACCTGGATTTCTCATAGAACTCCCATCAAAGTTTAATTTTATTTTATCCCTTGCTGCAGGCTTCCTTATTTTATGTCAGTCACTAGAAGACTTTAGAAGATGTCAAGGGTTGTTATCCAATGACCCACTTTTAATTTTATTATTTCCACCAAATTCTCTTTTGACCTATGTTCATTAAATATTCTTGCATTCTTCTCCTCCCAAATGATCCACACCACTGCTGCTCTGACTGTTCTCCACATTGTTCTCCCTCCTTTTGTTGGCTGCCTTAGGAAGTTTGGACTGAAGAGACTCACTACGTCCTGGGGAGTTATCCACCTGCAATCGAAAAGAGAGCAAAATGACTGAAGAGACTCACTACGCCCTGGAGCTTTGGATCTTTCCCTAAAGAAAATTGCCTCTCTAATCTCCTCAAGGATAAACACTCTTTCTAAATCTGTTGCAACAGCTTCTGGTACTTTTTCCCAATCAAGGTTTGGAAGAGTTGCACTTCTCACTACTGAATTCACAAAAATGTCTTTAAAGTGATCCACTAAAGCCTTAATGCCTTAATGATTTCCTCCTCCCTGGTTACCTCTTGGTTGTTCACCTCAAACCTTGTAATTAGATTCATCCTTCTTTTTCTGCTTGCCAGTGAGTGAAAGACGTTTGTCCTTCCATCCCCCTCCCAAGTTCACCTTGATTTTTGTCTCCATGAGATATCTTCCTTCCTTGGCACATCTCCAACTCACACTTGAGTCTCCATCTTTCAATTCTTTCCTCTCTACTAATTTCTCTTAACTCTTTCCTCTCTACTAATTTCAACTCTTTCCTCTCTACTAATTTCTCTTAACTCTTCTTTCTTGCCCAACTCTACGATTCTTGAGTAAGCTCTCTCCTTTGACACCTCCACCTTGCCAAATTGGTCTTTATTCCAAACTTTTATTCTCTTTTAATCTCTTTAACCTTCTTGAGAAATTGACACCTCTCTTCAACCCCCTACAACTCACCTATTGCCACCAGGCTCTAATCTTCTCCACAAAGATAGAGTCCTCCAACCACATATTTTCAAATCTAAATGGTGAGGGATTTCCTAAATTGGCTTCTTGTGCTAGGCCAATCGGACAGTGATATGAAGTGACTTTAGGAAAATCTCTAGAAGCTAGATTCTTCCACATTTCCTCCCAATCCACTGAGAAAAGGAACCTGTCCAGTTCGGAATAGACAGAGGATTCTTGAAAATTCGTCCAACTGAAATCAGCTTGTAATGACGGAATTTCTTTCAGCTCAAATGTATCTACAAACTCATTAAACTTCTTCATGCTTGTGGTGATTCTCTGGTTTGGATTATTTGTTTCTGTTGTGAAATGTATCACATTAAAGTCTTCACCCAAATCACCAAGGTCCTTGCCACAATTCCCTAACTGCACCAGCTTTTCCCAAAATTGAAACCTGTCTCTATAGGAATTTGAACCACAAACATTCGTCAAGGCCCATTCCTTACCATTGTTTTCTCTTTTGGTTTTGATTGAACCATAGAATTGTCCTATTAACTCCTCCACAAACTTTCTCCTCATTCTTCCAAATAGTCAGGATTTCTCTTGAAGCTCCCCATGATGAGGCAAAGGTCCAATGCAGACCCCTAACACTCCAAATACTCTCGATCCACCTCCTATCAATCTCTTGAATTTTTGTCTCTTGTAGTAAAACATATGGACTCTCCTTCCTTAGGGTTTCCCTTATTAATCTTCTTTTCTTCGCGCTCCCTAGTCCTCTCACATTCCAACTTAAGATCATAGTTTTCAAGGCTAGGCGACAAGGGGTTACCTAGTTGCCTAGGCGATGCCTAGGCGGTGGATATTTTTTTTAAGTAAAACCATATATCCTAGGGTAGTACCCTAGGTTCCATAACCATCTTTACTTAATAACTATTCATAATTTTTATAAGAGAAGTATAAATTTCGTGTTTAAGTCTAGATAATCAACATTTTATGAGAAGAAAAAGAACAAAGGAAAGAAAATTCAAAAAATATAGGGGCTGAACCCCTACTTTTGTTATAGGAAAGAAGGAAAGAAAAGGTGGAAGAAGAAAATCTGTTGATTAGACAAAATTTTAAGTTCTTCCCTTGCTTATTCGTTCAGGTTTTGAAATTTTTGAGGGTTCAATCAAGGATCAAAATTTCGATACGATACACCCCGTATCGGGTGTATTGTATTGTATCTTTGGAGTCCTGATACCTGTTTACAGGTGTTTTCAGGGACCCATTTTTTTAAATTATATATATATATATATATTTAAAAATGAAATTGAAAACGAAAGAAATAAAAAAACCATGAATACTATCACCAGTACAAAGGTCATACCTGATAAGGCTGACGAATTGGGGAAGGATACAATGAATAGCCTTCCACAGAGAGTTTAGTGTAGCCTCAATTTCCTGCATAACCATGAATACTTCCCACGACCCTATGCCACAACCTCCCTCTCTCTAATGGCCATCTCCATAACCATTTACCTAACAAAGCTTCATTCTTCTTCCCAAATTTTTCTAACCCCAAACCCCCTTGCTTCTTACTTCTACAGACTAAATACCATCTCACCAGGTGATCTTTCCTTCCTTCACCAATCTCCCACAAGAAGTCCCTCGTGATCTTCTCTAATTTCACTACTTCCCTTTTTGGCATCTTGAATACTGAGAGGAACACTAGAAGGTTCACTAAGGTAGACTTAATCAAAGTAATACGACCCCTTAGAGACACATAATTTCTCTTGCAAGTTGACTGTTTCTTGGCACATCTTTCAAGAATTGGGTTCCAAAAACTTCCTTCCCGTGGGTTGGCTCCTAATGGCAAACCTAGATATTTCAAGGGCCACCTAGCAGTAGGGAAACCTAATGGCTATTGCAACCCTATCCATCTCTTCCTCTCCCAAGTTCAATCCCACTACATAACTCTTTTCAAAATTGATCTTTAACTTAGAGATAATGTCAAACAATTTGATCACCTGCTTCAAACTACTTGCCTTCTGAGGAGCAACACTCTCACATAAAATAATTGTATCATTAGAAAATTGCAAATTTGTGACAATCGTGCTCTCTCTCCCAACCCTCCATCCATTAAAAGTCCCATGCTATCAGCTCTTACTAAAATACTACTAATCACCTCAGCTACCAAGGTAGATAGGAAAGGAGAAAGGGGATCCCCTTGCCTCAAACCTCTAGTTGCTGGGAAAAAGTCTTTGACCATTCCATTAACTAGGACTGAATAATGACAAATCTTTAGACATCCTTTTGTCCATCCACACCATCTCTATCCAAATCCAAAATTTTTCAAAGTGTCCAAGAGGAAGGACCAATCACCATATCATAAGCTTTCTCCAAGTCCAATTTACACACAAAACCTTTCTTTTTTCTTTTTAAAATCCTCCACACATTCATTAGCTATCAAAATTTGATCAGTGATCTGTCTACTTTGATGAACACCCCTTGGGAATGGCTTATCAAATTAGGAAGGACTAGCTTTTATCTTAAAGACAACACTTTGGCCAAGATTTTATATATGCTTGTTACCAGGCTAATTGGTCTGAAATCTCTCGGTTGATTGGCACCTCCCTTCTTTGGGATCAAGGCTAGGAAAGTTGAATTTTTTCCTGGAGTAATAAAATGTTCCCTAGCAAACTCCTCAAAGATTGCCCAAAGGTCCGTTTTAATTATCTCCCAATAATCCTAATAAAAAGCCATAGTGAAACCATCCGGTCCCGGAGCTTTAGATCTATCCAGTGAAAAT